TTTTCTTACGCTAACCTACACTTGACTTCTGCTGAGAGGCAGGAGCAGTGTTAGTGCCTCTCTGCACATCCCCAGCAAGGCTTCGCCACTGGAAGAACCCTTGCGGAGCCTACACAGGCTTTCGCCCTTCCCAGCTGAACGAGGTTTCTGTGCGTTGCCTCCCCCCAGATTTATACCCCACCTGCACCACAGGCTTGTAGACAACCTGACTTGGGCTCAGCTTCCCTCTAGCAGCAGCAACACCGAATGTCCGGGGGTGCCAGTGCCAGCTCACTCAGGGCAGTGTTTTCTCAAGGCCCAGACCTGCTGGGAACTTACTATGTACATCAAAAACGTCACTCCAGTCTTAACCATGGCTAAATGCTGTAGATTGTATTGTGAAGGACTTGATCCGTTTACTATGAAACCATTGTAATTTCTGCTTCCATATTTCCTTTACAGAGGTATTCCTGGATGTTACATGATAACTTTATTATGTGAAAATACATGCAAACTGTAAGGTGTATATATTGTGTCGTCATACGGGGTCCACGGATGGTACACTGTGTTCCATGGCTTACGCCGGGGCAAACTTCAGCTGTTAAATCCTGAAAGACACCTTGAAGCACAATTTCCTCACCGCTGATTTGCCATATAATTCACCACATTCAGTCTTTCCTGTTTTCTTTTATGTGCAGTCTGATCATACTAAAGCCTGACTACAACAGTAATTTTGTGAGGATAAAGAGGGTTTTTTTCCACATCTCAGTTCATTTAACTATTAACTTATTTGAATGTCTGCAGTTTATCCAGAAAGATCTGTAAGTTTAGTGTCCTATCCAAAATTTGAAAACTTACAAGTTTGTTTCAGGCTTTTCTTTCTTTTTCCTAACGGTTTATGGTGCCTTTCTTGCCTTTCATACAAAGGCATGCTGCCCTAAGCATAAACCTGTGCTTAGGTTCAGTTAAGGAGCAAGAGAGGGCATATGGCAACTGTGTGTCAGTAATGAAACTCCCTTCCCCTCCTTGACGAGATCGAAAAATCAAGGCATCATGAATTGGACTCCACTCTTCCACCTTCACCTGCATGAGCAGATGGTTGCACCCCCATTGAGCCCGGAAGGCGTCAATGGGAGAACTGCGCATCGGCCGGCCCTGCCTGTACAGATTCCATACAGAAACAGGGCCTTGGGTTTTGCTGATAATTTATCTCGTGGAAACTTGGTATTTTTGCCTTAAATGACATGCTTGAGTCCTTCTAATTTTAAGTTAATTTATTTAATACAATTTTGTGCACAAACGAATGAGTTCTATAAATTATGTATGAAAATGTTAATGTCTTTACAAAGTACTAATAAATCCAGAAGATCGTATCTTTTCAAATTATGGTTTAAAATCCTAATTTTTTTCTTTTATGCTCACCATTATTATTTTTGTAGCTGCAAGTCTTATCATATAGGATTTTTTTAATGTAATATTGATAGAAAACAGAAAGAGTAGTGAATATAGGAAATTATGGAGAGAAAGAATTGTTTGTTTGGATTTTTATAAGCTTTGCTCTTATTTCCTCATGAGGAGTTTCCTGTTTCTATGCTCTCTCTTTAAAAGACAGTGTCATGACTGACAGTCATTCATTGGTTTCACAAAAGAAGGAGCTGTCTGGCTTTTCAAGTCTTGTCCTGAGCTGCTTATCAAAGTCCAGCTCATGACAGCTAGTAAGAATTGTTCATGACTAGGGACAAAGGACAATTTTTTTTCTGATTTACAATCCACTTGAGGATTGTTGAAGAGAGAATTTGAACTTAAGTAAGAGCATCAGGAATTAAGCCTTATCCAAATAACTGTTTTCTGATCAGCATGTTTCTTGTACCTGATCGAAGAGAGAACTGAAAAGAATAGTTTTGATTATTATTATTTGTTTAAAAAATTTGTATTTGCTCCTGGCTTACATGATCTATACTTTTTATTTAAATATGAATATAGTGTTTTAGCCTAGGGTTCAAGATTGCAGAGATCATACACTTTTATTCACAGTGCCCACGGTTGTTCCATATGTTTTTGAGATAATCCTACTTAAGAGTGACTGCTCTCATAATAGTATGGTGATGAGTAATTCACCTGCTCTTCTGTGATAAGTCAAATCATACTGAATTGCTGATGTATAGTAGAACATCTGATGTACAGTAGTATTTCTGGATTGGGACCTGCAATCCTTACTCAAGCAAAAATTCTACGGAATTCATTCATTCTATGGAATTCAAGAATTTTTCTTGAACTGGGAGCTCAGATTCAAATCCTTATTTTGTTGGGCATCTGTTTAAAGTGAAAATGGTAATATTCCAGTTATTTCCTGAGGAAACTAATACTTAGCTGAATTTACCCGTGTCACATTGACTATATAAAAAATAACGCACAAAGTATTGATGTAAAAAGGGAAGAAGGGGCATTTTTAAAAAGCACAGAGAAAAGGAGAATAATCAGAAAAGAGGAGTAAGCAGGAAAAGAAAATATAACAGCAAAGGAACTAAAAAAGGGTTTAAACACCTGAGGCTAAATTCATCCTTGGATGGCTTCACTGACTTCAATGAATTCACTGCCCAACTGGGTGAAATTCAGCCTCCATTGGGATAATCAGGCTCAGTTCCACTAACCTTAAAGGAACTGCACCCACCTAGACGAGGAATGAACTTGCCTCTCTGGGCCAGCTTTTATCCTGGCTCATATGTCACACAATCCTTTTGGATTAATTAGGTTTGAATGAAATACAGGTCAGAAAAGAATTTGCCCCAGATATTTCTGCTTCACATTTTTTTTCAAGTGTGTTAATCGACTTAATTCAAATGGATTACAACATCACACAAAGTGCTGTCACTGTCTAAAAAGGTTAATTGATTTTTGAAATAAGAATTGTCCCCTGCAGCGTCAGTGGAAGCATGTAATATTTTCCTGTTCAATCATCCGGATGCAAATGTGGCCATTCATTCAGCTGTGGCCACACACAGGGCAGTTCCAGACATACCCAATATCATCTGCTATCGGAAGCATTTTTTACTTCTCTGAAAGATAAAAAGCCAGTTTCGTAACAGGCTTAGAAAGCACGAAGGTTGCTTCCACTGACACTGCAATGACATTAGCCAGTACATTACAATGTTAATTGTAACTTCTTGACAAAGTTGAATCCATATTGTTGTTAATAAAAATGATTTGAAAAGTACCGTGCTTACTGGGTTTTTTTCCTTACATAAACAATTGAATTGTATGGTGTAAGCACATATCAGGAAAAAAAAAATTTAAACTTGCTCCTTGTTTTCCTTTTGAAGCTTTGTAACTTTTTTATTAAACGGACGAAAACACCACAAAGGAAGTTTACTAGAAAAAAACGTGCACAAACCAGTCTGATATGTTCAGTTTCTGATAACTGTTTACAGCAGAGTTTACTTAAACTTCAGATGTTTCATCACCTCTATGAAAGTTAGTATGGAAGTTATTATTACCTTCCCTATTAGATAAATGGGAATTGATTCAGGATTGGCAATCAGGGGCCAATGCAAGAAGCAGGATTCCTAAGGGAAGGCCCATCCGCTACCTCAGTTAAACTTGAGATGAAGCCCTTTCCTCTGCATTAAATCATGAAAG